GATTTGGAACAAAGCAAGGACAAACGGTGCGCCGGCACTTCGACACCTAATCCTTGGAAATGCGCTGACGTCACGCGTCACTGTTTCATCATAATATAGAAATGACAGCAGACCAAGTCATCCTAATTCATCGAATTATTATCTACCTTATAGTTTAGCAACAAGGTTGGAAATAAACTGAAATTTTAACAGTGTTCTATGTATCTGAACATTTGTAAATCAGTGCAGGCTCATGTCCCTACACCAATAAAACGGCACACGTTAAAACGCTCGACAGTTACTCCTCAGTAACGACCCCCAGGTGACGACACAAAGAGGCTTAGCTACGAACAAACGTCTGCATTTGTGAGATAGTTTATGGGTACTGCACGGTGCTCTAAAAACCTAGAATAATTTATAGCAGTTTTCAAAGAAACACTATTGTATTCGTAAAGGTTAGAGGTTAGGTTTTGTTCGCAAGGCCGTATAGAAAATTGCCTTTAAAGATGTTTAAGTTTAATAAACAAATATGATGCAAAAATCGTCTGAAACACACAGAACTGTAATAAATGAACAGACGGTAAATAAGTTAGTCAAACTAAGAGGAGTTAATAGAACCGAATTGCTATAGCTATTTGCCTATTCATAAAGGTCTCCTCTAAATAGGGAGGTTAAAGCCCTTAATTTGGGCATTCATGAAGTACGAGTAGGTACGTCGAAACCTCTCAAACGTGCGTCGTATGCCGAGACGTGACCTATTGACTTTCAATCAATTCTCTTTCGTCCATTTGTGAGAACATCGTGGCGTTCCTAATAAAGTATAATAGATAAGAAGCGTACAGACGTCACTCGCGATTATTTTGGTCCGTACTTGTTGCGATTACGTTTTTTTTACAAAGCCGTATATTTTGAGACTGAGATGAATGTATGATGTGTGTTCTTATCGTAATTTATAACACATGTCAGTCATTGCGAATGAAGAATAAAAACGAACAAACTGGATATGAGTAACAGCGTGCGATAAAAATTTCAGTGCTCGCGTTTTAGCTACAATTCGATTATGTGTACTTTAACCGCACGTTTTTTTCCTAAAGACGTAGATGAGGATGTTTGAAACAATGTCTACATTTAATTTTGTTTCCCTGTACCTTCATTACAGAATATCAGTTACCAGGGATCGTTAGAGCTGATTACTATTTGTTAAAATATCAATTATGCAAATAGCAGCATCCAAAATTACATTAAACTGCATCTCGTATGTAGGTAAATAGGCGATAGCGTGCCTAGATAACAGTAATCTGGACAGCGATCTCAATTTATACTTCACAATACAATAAAGTGGTAGTTAGCGGGGCGATATCGATGCGAGAGCATGGTCGGGCGTGACGCGGCGAGGTTAAATCGGGCCAGGCGGCCCACGCAAAACCGCTAATTAGGAAGCGCACGCGCAAGGGCGCTGCACTGCCGCGCGCACGATGCGCAGGCGACTCCACACAACCGCTGAAACAAAGACAACCACCGGCGAACAAAAGAAACAAGCATTTAAACAAAAGAAACTGCTCATGTAACAAAAGAAATGGCCAGAGAACAAAAACAATGGCGTGGCGGTGGAAACGCGAGGAGTATGCCACCTTGTTTTTCAGGCACAAAGGGTGTTGTGTGAAATTACGTGTTGTTGCGAATTCTGACGTGTCCGACATTGAAGAGCGCCAAGCGCGTGTTTGCATTCTATTATATATAAAAGAAACTTCCTTACGAGATGCTATAAATCTAACGGTTCGGGCGTCACAAAACTTGTAAGTCGAATTATTAAGGATAAGGAAAATGCTTCAGTTCTAAACCGAGGAAATTCAGACTAGAATATATGTTCAATAAAAACTATTACAATAGGGAACATCCGCGCCGGGCAAGAAATACTTTAGTTGGAATCGCCGTCTCCCCGGTGCCAATTTTCCTTTTTTCCATTCTTTGTTTTCGGGCTGTTGAGTTTGTACGAAACGACGTTGGAATTCATTTCTTGAAGCCGTCATTCCAGCTGTCATGTTTCATTGTGATGCGAACGTTTTAATGTATCTCTGTCGACAATATGTTTCAAATGCGTGTGTAGATGAGATCATTACAGGTAGCTTAATGCAAGGTTTCTGAGAAGACCACACGCCTGGGGTTGACTCAGCAACTGGGTACATTTAGCCTTGTGTAAAAATCATATAAGCTGACGATTATCATATCTATCATGCTTGTTCACGCTTCATATTGTATCTCAGTCATACACGAGATCAAGATATTATTATCTATACACATGAATTACATTAATGCGTACTTTTGATTTTAATATCAGCTCACAATGGATATGGAAATCTGCTTTAATATAACAGTGAAATATCAAACAATAAACTCCAATATACGACAAAGGAAATGCATGAGAGCGCAGTGATACATTTTCCTAATCGTACCTACAACAAGAGCAATAAAACGTTCCGTGTATGTCATGTCATGTGGAAGGATGATGCATCCAAGTCGCATGAACAAAGCACAAAGATGGCGCTGCACATAATTCAACGGAAGCACTTAGTTCTATTTCGGTAATGTGAAAGCCCCCAAATATCGCGGCGCGAATACAAACATTTCATCGAGTACTCGTTAAGAACTACATACGTTCAATCCCACTCAACTATTTCGACACTAGATCCCTAAAGTTCTAAATAAGGAGTATCAAATGGTTAGTTCGATCCAAACTTAGTTCTGATTTTCTAAACCCACTCAAGGAACATGTACATAGTAATCAACGTCGTTGTTATATTTTATCGGCTGATAACACAAATAGTGTGTTAAGCCAATAGAGGCGATAACATCGGCCAAATCTTTACCAATTGATAGGAAAAACAGTAATTACATATTCTGGGAAAAAGGAAATAAATGTTTTATTTGTTCACTAATTAAGATTAGCTAACGAGGTGTTTTTGACCGTACTTCCTATTGTTACTGTTGGCAAATATATCAGTACTTAACTAAAACGCATTATATTTGGGGGCTTATTTGTATTTTCAAAACATAGAATCAGCCCCTTGTATTATTGATACACAAAGCAACCGCGTTTCCTCATTTTCCCACAACTTCGTAAAGTGGCATCGAGATTTACTCGCGCAAATATAAATTTTTAAATATAAATTTTTAAGTAGACGACATGACGTCATTGGCTTCCCGTTTAACCAAATAAATATATTTAACATTCTGTATACAAAGAACGTATTAATCTTATTCTCAAATCACCAAAATGTCGCTATTTATTAAAACTGTGTCGATCCTCTACTGCTACCTGCTAATTCCCGAGAATATTTTAAATGTCAAATTCCATCAACGTTTTTCTCAAAACTTCTAAATTATTTTCGTTAGGTAACGCTTATTTAATAACCAAGGCGGATAAGCAAGAAATATTATTCCGGACGCAAGGACCAAAAGAAAGGTGCGATAATTTTTAATTTAAAATTATCCTTATGCAAACTAATATTGATTACGAAAATTTTGCGATTTCTTTGGGGACATTTTCCATGGATATGCACGTATTTTTTCCTTGGTTAATTTGTAACTTGAAACATCTCTCAAAGACCCTTTTTATACATTTTTATGGTTTTATAAGCAAGTACGTATTAAACTTTACTATTCTACAAAAGGCAAGTTTCTTGTATTACAAGTTGTACCAAGTGTTTTCCTTTTAGTATTGGCTTGAAACGAGGCAGCGAGGCAGCCCGGCAACGCGGCCGGCGGACGAGAGCCATTCGAATTTCAATAAAACTTGAAGGGGAATAAATCGGTATAGGGTAGCGGCTACGAGATATTGTGTTCCCGCCAGCTGACGCCGCGCACACAGCCCGAAAAATAATAAACGCCATTATTCTACTAATTGCACTTTCCGAACACATTTGTCAGTGTTGATTCAATACACATCTGCCACTCGGATATTGACTATTAAAATCAATTAAAACGTCTATTAATATGATTGCCATCATTATTCGATAATATATGTACAGACACACTGTGACGCTGACGTAGAGTTTATTTTCTCGTTTCTGGTTTATTCTGAAATTGGCGAAAATAATGACTTTTAAATATTCATGATCGAGGAGCTGTCACGGGCGGTAGCCAACTAGAAATTCGTTTTAGGCCTACGACTAGATTTCATGTTTGAATTATCTGTGGTAATTTGAACGTGTTAATCGGTCGACGGCGTTAGGAACCGAAGCACTGGGTACGAAAACTAATTCGTTAATGGCTCAAATTAGTTAGAAAGATGAGGAACTTTTTGAAATGAGTTTGATACTGTTGAAATATGCTTTTAGACTTTATGTGCAACGCTGCAAAATGAGGCACATTTAATGGAATACAATACAACAAAGCCGTAAAGATCAGCCGACCCATAAAAAATCACAGTAGTGTATGCGATATAAAATTTGAAACATAAAACCGACAGTTACTCGGTAGGATATTTATACGGCAGTTGAGAAAGATAAATTATGGCTGTATAGATCTATGACGACATTGGGAACAACGTGAGACCCGCTGAAAATGGACGCTAACTCTTGTGAGATCAACCTTTACTGTCATTCGATTTGACAGCGTGAAATTGAAGTACTCCGCGCTGATAAAAATGTATTATAATTAGTCGCACATCATTAAAATTAGTTTCATCGTTGCAATAATGATACTAGGGATTATAAGCTTTCTAAGGTACTATAATGTATATGCCAATTTGAATAATGCAAAGCATGAGGACTGATACTATTCACATTTTCCACACCCTCTTGGCATGCATCTACGAAGGTATACAACTGTCAAATCAAGTCACATACGTGACAAATTACTGTTAGTCGGTAAAACGGGCAAACGAAAACTCACAATAAATAATGCGAAGTTTTAAACTTTCAATTCACCGCTATAAATCTTGGATGCAGATATAAATCGAACAAAGACAAAGTATCAAGCCGCTGAATCGCTGACAATTCAACGGTTGAAACTCAATAACGCTACAGCGATGATAAAATATAAAACACTGGGCCGTTCGTTGGCCGCTTCAGCAGTTCCGGAGATTCTAAGTGGAAATGCAATCTTATACCACCCTCGCGCGAGGTCAATGCGCCTACACTCACCGTTAAGAGCCCGTCATACGATCGTTTACGGCAACAATTATTTAGTAATGCTAGACTATCTATACGGTAAAAAGGATACATTTCCTGGAAGAAGTCGAGGCTAGGCGGCTGTAGGATGTCTAACGCCGATAAGACCTGCAAAGATAAAACCACACATTAGTTAAGCGTTCGCGACAAACGTTAGGCTTTCATCAAACCCTATGCTGGCATGTTGTTAGTGGTCACACAATTAACACTATGCAACGGTAACTCGTTGCAATGCAAATACGTGTTTATACATAGATAGGTAGATACAAACGTTCGCAACCGCAAACAATACACGTTGATCGATAAAACACAGTGAAAATGAATAAATTATGAAGAGAGCGCACAACACATTATAATTATTTCGTGATAATGTCCAATACAACCCTATTATCATAATAACGAGCCTCGACTCAGGTAAATAAGTGTATTGGATTGGGAGGGAATCGAGTTACGTATGATAAATTGCAAGTGTTATTGTATCGCCGAAGGGATGGGCAACATAGTACTCAAGTTTGAATGTAAAAGCTTCAATTAACATTCATAAAGTAAAGCCAGGGTGCGGAAGGTCCCTCTAATTAGAAATGTAAAAACAAACGCGTCTAAGGTGTTCCAATTTAGTCGTTGTTAATAAGACTTCGTGGGAACAACTATTTGAACTGAACGCCGTTTTTGTAACCAACGCGCTTGTTGGAATAAGAAAAGATGGCGTGAATTTGAATGTCGAAGAAATGGAACAATCTGGAAATTGTTTCTTAAGGACGGTATATCGTTCGTGGAAAATAATATTCAAATGTTACTTTTGACATGTCGTGTGTAATTTTTACCGAATGTATTTCGTATAAGAGGTTTTTATTTTATGTAAAGCTACAGAGGAAGTTATATGGTACTTGTGCCGTTGGCTCCAGCTTCCAAGTAATCTAATATCTGAATCTAGGCAACCCCACACATGCATGTCTTGGCTATACATTCTTAGCCAGCAACTTTCTATACATGAGAGAGACCATGGTACGGTGAAACTGTTGGCTGCAACTATGCCTATAGTTTAAATATTGAAGGCAAAACTTCAAGTGTTCGAGAAATTGGTAAAATACTTGAATGCTAAGTAAGTTTCAATGTTTACTTAACTATTGAATTCTATTAGTTGTTACTAAGAAGATGTTATTCATTTTATTTACGAGTGAGGAATTATTTGCTTACGGATACAACAATACCAGTCATATTGTTTGTTTTTATTTAGTTATCAAATATCTAGAACCACCAAAATCACGAGAAAATGCTGACGATAGAGAAAAAGATTGTAGTTTGACTTTGATATATGACGCAACAAAAAAACAGCTCGACCGGAGTGATACCACGGCCTCACAGAATACCGGCGTGAGACAACCACAACGTTGTGTTTCGCCGTGTGAGCAAGTTTACCGGAGGCCCAATCCTTTCCCTTCTTGATCCTTATATCCGCAACCCCTATCCCCAAAAGGCCGGCAACGCACTTGTAACTCCTTTGGTGTTGCGGGTGTCCATGGCCATAATTCGCCTGCTTGTTTGCCGACTTATACCATAAAAAAAATTGCTTTAACTGAATAATACATCATGAAGCTATGGTACGATCTTAAAATTTAACCAACTGCATAAATAATGACAATACTAATGGTTTACTGACGTCATACTGAGCAAATCTTTATTAATTGAAACAAGAACATCTTAGCAAAACAATAGTAAACAATTCGAAACGAACAAAATACGTTGCTGATGCGTAATGCGTAAGGCAATGTTTGGCCCAAACATACAAATAACGTTTAATGAGAAGTAAATAACTCTACAAGATGGTGTTTAGCTAAAATATTATTATGTTACACATAATTCCTCGTTAACTTCAAGCTTAATTGCTGAAGAGGAGTTCAATTGTTAGAGAGAGAGAGGGTTTATTTACTTTTTTTATAAAATCTATGTTTTATTACGGAGTTAGGTTGCATTAAAAGGAGGATTTACAACGTGCACTTCTATTCTTTTTCTTCTAAGTACTTACGTTTTCATGTTTGAAGAAACAGAGCATCTTGAGCTCTCGGAAGACGCGTTTTGAGGAGACGAGCGACTGGAATACATTGGGCAGTTTCTTTAGTGCCACGCGCCGGCCATCACGAGGATCCGTTACCGCCCTGTTAACAAAAAGAAAAAAAATCTTTATACCTACGTTTAGAAAAGAGTTTAGATTTTAATTCATGTAATGGATGACACTATCAAACTTAAAAGTAATAAAAGTAAGTGTAATAAGTTTCGACAGATAATTTATTTGTCTTTTTTTAATGCCCTAGTTTAACATTTCAATTGTGGTCATTCGGGAGGACACAATAGCAGAACAATAGGTGCGCGAACGCCAGCATTCGCTTGGTTTTTAATAAATTAAGACACGTTTGTGCCGAGACATTTCCTAGAAATACTTAACCTACTTGTTATTTTATTAGTACTTAATGCAATTAAGAATTCAGTGAATAATTAGTACATCTAGCTTATAAATAAGACATGGTATAAACTTGATTTATAGTGTCAAAAAGGTCAAAGAAGTTGGTCCTTCGAGTCGAGACACGTATCGTTCATTCATTTATCAGTTCGGAGTTAATTACGTGTCTTTTTTGTACCTTTTTTATAAATAAATCATTAAAAAATGCACTCTATACCGATGAAATTAAGGACAAGGACGGCAAAATATCAGGGTCAGAGATAATGAACGGTTGTCAGATAAGTCTCCAATACGTATTTATTTCCAACATATTATTGTAACACATTTTTGGTGCACATTTAATATCTATGGTAATACCACCAAACTTTATATGTAGATATGTTATTTGGTTTAATTGAATTGTACTCATAAAGCATAATTCTATATAATTATGTGTAAAAGGTTTATCACCAATATTGTTGTATTACTAAGATAAATATTTCATCGTCATTTGTTTTCAGTCATTGCTTTTTCGTTCGGATTTCAAAATAAAAAACTGTTTTTTATAAGAAGTGTTTCTATTTCATTGAAGCGTCTTTCTTTACTTTATCAATACGTCCATTCTTAACAAATAAATCAGTAAAATGAGAGTTAAAGCGCTTCATTGAAATCGTTAAAGCGCTTGCAGCGCCACATTGTTCCATCAATACTATTAATTAATTTACAATATACAAAGACACGTTCACAAACATTAACATTCTGAAATTGCATTATCTTCCTATTATAGACGGTCCGGTTTTCAACAATACTCGATTATCATAACAATACGGGTTAACAACAGTATGAGTTTACTCAGTGGTTCGTGACACGTATTGACATAAGCATCGGAATCCAAAGTTCAGAATTTGCATAACAAAATGCTTGGGCCCAAGAAGGTGCAACTGCAACTGAAGTCGTAATAATAAAAAAAAGGTACCGCGCCGTTTGGTATTCTTAATTTGAAATAAAACTATTTAAATGTTTGTGTTTTAAAATTCGACTACGGACTGCATTGTTTAGGCATTTCTCGGTAAGTACTATCTTCATAGATCTGGATGACTCAAGTTTCAAAATAAGTTAAAGGAGATCGAAATGTTTGCGTCCGATAAAAGAAACCTTGTTCCTCCACCATACAAAAAACTTTGAGACCGAATACGAATAAAGTATAATTATGCCAAACTTGTTTGGACAAAAACGGAGCTCTCAAAACGCAGTGTTTTGTAGAGGCTGAGAAACGTACCCTCGCATTACCGGGTCCCGTTAGGTCTGCCCTTGCGATTATTATCGTTCGGAACGCCAAGCCCGATAATATCCGTCGCGAGGGAAATAGGGATGCCGACCGGCTCCGAGAGCAACGACCGGACCCTGGCAAACAGCTAGCCCGGGTAACATTTGGACAACATTTCAAATTACGGATGTTATTGATTTATTTCCTGATCTAACACACCAAATAAATAACAAAATATTTTGTCACGCGTACATATCAGAAAAGTCAGCTAAACAAAAAGCATAATTCTAGTACTACACTCTATGTTCAGTTACGTGGTATAAAATTATTTATATGGAACTTTAAAACGGTGCAGCAATCGCAAAGTTTATTAAAAGTCAATAAGAATAATAAAAAAAAATACAAGGAATCGATTAGAATCGCCCGTTTAATTTGATGGCTTTTGTCCGCGTAAACGTTTCATTTAAAACGCACCTATTGTCGATTCTTTTTGTTCTCTTTAAAGAATAAGTGTGCATGTATGTGTGCGTGTGGGAGAGACAATATTAAAAACAGAGAATATTCCATTCTCATTAAAAAGAGAATTATCATTTTTACCACTGCAATTTTTAACCTGAAGTTGACATTAACATGCGATGGTCTTTTAAAAGCATAATTTAAAACAAAACGGATAGCCAACACGGAATAAAAAATATTAACCTTGATTAACTTCATAAAAGTCTGCAAATTGATACTCAATTTTAACGGCGTACATAAATTTTCGATTGCTTTTGTTTTGTGACATGTACTTTAAAAATATAAAGAATGATAATATTTGATGGTAGGGTCATAAGGTACAAATTACAATACGTATTATTTATGTCACACGACGTTCAATTCGGCAAGCTGAACGAGCATTGTAAACAAAGGCAGGAAGTATCATTGAAACAGTGGCCATAAGTAACTTAGTCACTTTTTATTCACGCTATAACAGTTCTGCAAGTTCAACAACATTTATATTGGAACTTTGACACGGGAAATCAGTGGAGCAAAACTTTGCAATAAACATGAGAGATGAAATGCTCGTAGAAACTCTAAAACGTATCCAAGAATCTGAACAACATACATATTATATTGGTATATTTTGTCAAAAACCCTTGCAAAACTTATGTGGAAGTGGGCTAGTCACTTTGCACTTAAACATGGTTCGTGGTGCGGATAGAGTAGAGACCGCGGGGGCGAAAAAGGCCCACAAATAATACTCAAGATGCGTTGGTATGACTATCAAACAAACAACTGGTACAAAATGGCGGAAGGTAAAGGAGAAAAAGACTAAAGTAACAAAAACGTTAATGTACAACCAGGATCCAGGATACGAGATGAAACCATAGAAACAATATGAAGGATTTTCCTTCCATTTTAAGGTAAGTCAAGGTACCTGCCAGTGTAAATTACTGATAAAAATTCCAATAAACCACCTTAAAAGCCATTGGTAATAAAAACATTAGATATGATACGTTCAAATCGTAATTTTACGGTCCACACCACGACAAATTCCACAAAGAGCTATTAAAAATATGAAATATGACCGGTGCAGGTCCTCGGTGCGTCGTTGCTTTTTACGGTTTTTAGTGATAATTTCGAGCAGTAATTGTTTATTCTTGACAAGTATTCGTTGGGGCTGAACTCGTACTGTACTAACAATAAAACTTATAATTCAGGCCTGTTTAGCATGCGAATTTCAAGTATTCGGAAAAACCGAAGGAAATGGAATTGTGGATTGTTAGAATCGAGTGTTTGTGCAACGGAAAAGCAGCGGTATAGGTATTCGGTAAACTAAGCGCTTAACGTTTGCAATTAATTCTGGTGAAGTTTTAAGATACGTTTTGCTTTTAAAGTTTTCGGAAGTTCACATATTTTTACTCCAACTTCGTAGTGTGGCAGTAATTTATTTCTTATTGTAGGCAGGTATTAGTTTTAAATAAAGACTTCATTCTAAGACTAATACATTCCATGGTTATGTTTCACATGGTTGGTTAGAATACGGTTAAATTTGACACCAGTGAATTCAGTGACCTTGATAACATTGATGCTTGAATGAACTAATCCGCGATTTACCACCCAATGATCACCTTAGCTGTTAATCTCACTACACAAGGGAGACAGTAGATATATGTAGTAATTGGGACATCTTGATGTTTAATCTACTTTATTATTAAAGTTCATAAATAGTTCTGCCAAAAACAAACAAAGAAAGTAGAGAATGGGGAGAAATGACATCAATAACTTTGGTTATTCATGGGAATACATAAGTACATATAGTTTTATATGTATAGAAAGTAGCAACCCGACCGGCTTCGCACAAGTGCAATGCTAATACTGAATTTCACAAATATTTAATGGACGATATTATACATTACAAATTCCTTTTCAATCACTCTATCTATTAAAAAGGTGCATCAAAATCTGTTGCGTAGTTTTAAAGATTTAAGTTATGGGGATATAGAAAGCGACTTTGTTCTATACTATATAATGAATAGTAATGCAATTTAGTTCGTTTCAACAAATAAAACTTCAAGTATTCACTAGTCATAGCCCTAATGCTTCGCTTACAGGTACTACTAGTTCACAACAGTTACTGCTTTTGCACAGCCAACTTTGACAGTAATTGACTAAGTTGGTATTTAAAAAGTTCGTGGCACTGCCGTTCATTCTGCTCGTATAAAAACAGATCTATAAAACGTTATTAATTGCTATATACCAGATAGAGTATGGACGGTGATAAAGTAAATTCTTAATGGTAACATTTGTGACTAGTTTTTTATAGAAAGTTAATGATAATAAATTATGCTTAATTCACTACGAGCTATTGTCATTGATGATTTCTTTGAGGAAACTCACGTCAAACCACATCTCTCGCCGTAATAGGGGCGAGAGGTAGTGTTAGACTCTTAATGACTAAAAACTACTCCAATTCCTTCTCCTGTTCAAAGCTTGTGACGCGGCTGAAAGTGATGTATTGTTCAGTTAAACACAATGTATATTAAACTACAATGTTTAGGTATGTCACTGAGTATTAGAGACACAATATCCGAAAAAAAATTAGGCAATGAAATGCAATTTTAAATTTCAGCCTTTACTCTGGTCCATCGAAATAAAAAAAAGCCGAAGAGCTTATCTTCTGTACAAATTAAATCCAAGCTGTAGGTAATGATTGCGGTAGTTATCTAACAACGTGAATCCATTTCCAGTGACATTTGTAACATATCGTAGTAACCGACTGCGAATAGTATCGAAGTTGAACAATTACGATGCGGTCGGTCGGTCATTCCGAAATCGCATTACTCACTACCCCTCAAATATAAGGCTCGGTATTTCCCTCCCAGTTACGTGGAAATACATGGATAAATCTTTTCTATGGTTATATTACCTAACATCGTTATAGTACAGATGTAGTAGGTGGTCTTAAAGTA